TTAAGTTTATCGAAGAACATTATAAACATTGCTGAGCTAGAGTGTTCTGTGTTTCTATAAACACAAAAAAACCATCCCTTCTACTTCTTGTATTCCTCTTTGACACTCGCTCTCAAATCTTGAATCTCCTTCTTCTTGTACGGGATCTGTGTATACCATGAAATCGTATGCATTTGTACTGTGGAATGGATGTCTCTTATACACATCTAGATGTGTATAAGAGACAGCGTCTGGGAAAGCGATCGTCTAATTATCCTTCTTGTACGGGATCTGTGTATACCATGTCGTATGCATTTGTACTGTGGAATGGAATTGGTTCAATAAGAAACTGAGAAAAAGGTGATGAAATATTTCGGGGACATTTAAAACATGAGCTGAAATGTATAACACTTTGTATTGTCTAATTAGGCTAATTAATTAGTTACGGACGTTACATATTAGTGTTACGGACGTTATATGTATGAAAATGCAAGGGAACAACATCTATTAACAACTTTCTTTTTGTCTCTACATCCAAGTAATTAACGTTAAATGGGGATGCTATGAGGACAGGGAAAGAATAGCCTCAATTTGGCTACAATGGGAACAGCTTAGGAATTTGTTGATGAAGTGCTTGGAGATTGACATTCTCATGGTATCGGCATAAGCACACACTTTGCCTCATAACATGGTTTTTTCTTTCATTGGCAAACTTAGATTTTCCAACCACTTTGTCAGGGTTTTCATCCTTATACATCTGGTAGGCTTCTGCCACTGTCTTAGCCATGTACCTCTTCTGTATGGTAGTTTTTATGCCATCCTGCCCGTGAATGATGTGATCATTGACTCCTGGCGCTTGCCGTGATATATCATCTCGTTGATAAAACTCTTTGATGGTCTCTATGATTCATGGCGTTATTTCATTGGTGGGAAATTTGTTGAGCTTTGGTTGGACCACTTCAACATTCTCATGTCGAAACAAGTAGGAGAGAACTCTGGATCTTCTCCGTGGGCTGCTGGGTAGTGCTCGTTTATCTCTGCACACAGCTTTTCCAAGAGTGTTAATTCTTTTGTATTCTTTTTCCATAGGGCATCTTTCTTTTTTTGTTCCTCAAGCTTTTCAGGATTGTTTCTAAGTCTCTTACGATACTCCCTGACTCGCTCTTTACCATATTGAAAAAAATAATTTGGATTGAATTTTGTTACAATTACTGAAATTTCAAGTTTCAATTTATTTTTCTTAACAAATGATAATTAAATGAATAAAGCATTATAGTTAAAAAAATTATGGTCACCCTAAATTGTTTGTACTGATGCATTAATAGGAATGTTACAATGTAGTTTACAGATTATAACCACAATAAATTTATATTCTACTGTACAATAATCAACTCTACAATATAGTCCTTATATCACACCTAAGTAGATCCCAGTCTTTTGATTGGTTGATTTCGTACCACATGACATTAGTTATTATGCCCATTTCATTGCTCACCGTTGAAATTTTCTGTATTGCACTAATGGATTTCTGCCCCCTAAGCCAAGCCAGGCCTGGGCCTAGGCTACAGTAGCTAGGCCTAGGCCAAACCAATCTATTTAGGTGTGTTATAAAACAAATTATTCATCTACAATAAACTCACCTGATCAGAAGAAAAGTTATAAAATTTTACTCTACAGGCCTGTCCAAATATTGTCAGCTCAAAATGTGCTCATCAGTATACACATGTGAGAACTAACCTCAAGGATTTGTTACCATGTGTAACAGCATTCGACATAACCATTTGTAAGGAGTTGTGATATCTTAAGTAGGTGGAAATTAAAAATAAATCTCTGGAACGTAACATCCATAACGATTTTTGTAACATCCGTAACGCTCGTTAGCCTATTTCTAATTATAATTAAAAAAATTTTACTTTATAAGTTAACTCATGGTAAGTTTGCAGTAAATATGTGGAATGATGAAAGTCAGTCAAATATTTTTCATTGTAGCTAAAAAAAATGCATAAATTGTTATGGTTCAATGGAAAAATGGAACGGGAATTTAATTACGCTTACTGGGCTTCGCCATTAAGATATAATTTTTTTTTTCCATTCATCTGATGCTTGCTTTCTTATATCCAATATCCCAAATAACAATTCCATGGCACTTTTAAAGAAATAAATGAAGGATTTTTTATGACATCCATTATTAACAATTTAATTAGTATAACGAACATTCTAAGGTAAAATCTTTTCAGATTTCTTAAATATAGGTATACCCCTAACCAACCATAGATGAGAAAAAAACATATAATCAATTTGATATTTTGGCATTCATGTCACAGTTGGCGTGGAATTGTCCAAATATCAAGTTTTAAAAACCAAATAATCATAACCAGTTTCTTCGACGACAGACTTACCAGTTGAAGGCTGCTATGAGCTTAAAGTAGCTCATACACTACATATTCCACACATCCCAGCATGTTTTCTTTCCCCTTTCTGTAAACGATGAAACTGTCACACCCAGTCAAGCTATGAAATAGTGGAAGAGATGTTGCCTTGTACTGCCCAAGATTTGATGCATTTGTGTGTGCCCCTGTGTACTTAAATGTTTTCCCTGTACCAAAGGCGATCCACAGCTCCAAAATATCTAGTTTGTTGATTACAGATACTGCCAGCACACCACCACCACTACATTGGTGTCAACAGTCAGCTACATGTACCATAATGCGAGTATTTGCTTCTTCATGTGTGCATGGTGCTAAATTAGATGTACCTGTACCGTATCTTTTTCAGCTCGATTTCAACTTTTGACACTAGTGTTGTCTTTGTTACAAGTTTGTCACACAAAGTTAGTAAAAAAGGGTAAATAATAGCTGATACAGAACATTGGGAGATAGCACCACTTATTACAGCTACAAAAGATGATGGAGTTGAAAATGTTAATGGCAAGAACCCTGTAACACCATAAACCACCCCATGTTGATCTGACATGGGCATGGATGTTCCTCCACCATAAATCTGGGTACACAGTTGACTTAATAAAACACACACACACAAATCACTTACATATGGCTTGCTACCTGTGACAGACAGAAGGTGTTTGCATTCGTATCATTCAACACCACTAAAAGTGGCAGGCTATATTTGAGGACATATTCTTCCAACTCACAGTAAAACTGCATGTGGTTTTTTTTGCAATACCAAATGTTGCCATCTTCGCTGCTGCTTTGTATCGCTATCACCTTGAGCATAGAGATTCCTGTATCTGTTGGGGCAATCGTCGGTTAACACATACACTGACTATTATAGCATTCGCTCTTATGATACAGACACATGGTTTTCGACTGTCAGTGCATTCGCTCGATCGGTACCGATGACAGGTCTCCACAATCCTCTTATGCTGGATAACGGCAAGCGACCTTTCGACGTCCAAGTTTGCTAGTCGATATGCGCCTTTCTCGGGAGAGAGAGCTCACAACGGATATGAATTCGACTTCAAGCTGCTTCGAACGGAATTCGACCGTCTCGGACGTTCTCTACCTTTCGACCTGCTGTGTTGCGATTCCCTGTTGGCTTTTTGGAACTGGGGACTACCGAAGAGGTCGTACGCCTTGCAAAAGATATTCGTCTGGACTTTCGGAATGAAACCCAGAAACGTTCATGGTGCTGAATCGGACATAATCTCTACTGAAACTTGTGCTCAACCGAGGAAACGCAATGTGCGAGTGGATGGATCAGCATGCAACGAGGTGGACGGACGTCCTGCAATATTACTCCCCGAAAAAGATCGAGGATGAGATATGTTTTCTTTTTCACAACATAGACAATGTAATTTAAAAATTTTTTAAATAATTTCTTCTATCTTTCTGTAATAAATTATTATATAGGTTTAAGGCAATTTTAACATTTTTTTAAATAATTTCTTTTTGTGGAAAACTTAAATTTTATTAATAGATTTCTGTTATCGAGTCTTCTATAATCTCTGCAAGGTTTACCCACCTTGACAACAGCACTTCCACGTTTCTTATTGTAAGATCTTGTCCATTCCATGTTAGGTTTGTTTTATCATGTAAGCATTTATAATTTTAGTTAATAATTACAAATATTTTAAAATTAAGCTAAATGAAATAGTAAAGACCTTACCTTCAGTTAAAATTAGTTTTGTCTTTCTGATCATTTGTTTTTGTCTGGTCTGTAGATTTAAAAATAATAATCATCATATTTCTAGGTAATAATTACAAATATTTGGTGTATGAGACTTAACAAAACTGTATTATGGGTGTGTGAACCTTAACAAAACAATAGTATGGGTGTGTGTACCTTAACAAGGTATAGTATTTAGGGGTCGTATTTTTATGCATAATTCCATTATTCAAATTTACGATGGCAATCGTATTTGAAAATACCATCCAGGTATGTGCCAATGTAAGGCTTACCGTATATTCCGGTGTATAATAAGCCGCCCCCCCCCCATTTTTGTGTTGCCTATGTATAAGCCGCATCTATTTTGAAGCTCCAAACCGTTCCTATGTTAGGTTTTTAATTATTTTGAAAAATTGACATTATTTACAAATGGTCACATAAAAAAAAATTTCATCTTTTTCGGCCAATTATTAAACAACAAACAATTGGAAATGCGTGTAAACTTCTGGCTACCGCAATGAAACAACGTATTCTTGCACGATGGTCGTGCTACGTAAAATTTTAAACATCAATTTAGTTTAAGTTAAAGTCTAATAAAATAAAATACTTATTGAGTATATTTATCTATTTTAAACAATCATTCTATTACAGTCGGTATTAGGCTAAAAATACTGGTAATTCTAGGCCTACGGTAAGTCATTACTACTCACAGCCCACTGTGCGAAGCATGTACCATCACGCACCACGTTTTATAAACAAAAACAGAATTGGAGAAACATCGCGTGATACAAAGTTCATGCATGCACAGATGATATATGCCTTTCTTCAATTAATTTCTAGTAAAATAATTATTACAACTTCAAGAAAACTCGTGTTTTATAGCATAAATTAAAGAAAGACTGAATTAAGCACAGCTACCTGCATATTCATGCAGATATAATATATTTAACAGGATATGCATCGAAATTTCTGCCAAAATTAATATAGTTTTTATTTAAAACGATGTCAAAGTATGAAATTTCGTAATAAAAGCAGGGTATTTGGTTTTCGCCATGTTTGACTTGAAAGCGAGGCTGTGACGTCACTGGTGTGACAGTTTCAGATGTCCAGCGATGCCCTGCGGCGAGTGTGTGTAGTTGGTGTATTTTGGCTGTCAAACTCAAGTCACATCAAAGTACTTTCTGATACAAAACAAACATGGAATATGGCCTACAACCGTATCAGCTAGAGCCGGTAAGGAGAGATGATTTCGAAGTAGATGATGATGTAATAGATAATGTACAAATTCGTGAAGAGCAAGAAGAAGAATGGAGAAAATACAACAAGGAGTGGTGCGAATGCCAAAGATGCGGCTTGATGCCAACTGCTGTGGAATGCCTGTGTTGCCATGAAATCGGTAATGTTGTGAGGAAGATGAATTTAGGCCTAGAGGATGAACTAAAATGCATTGTTGAACATTTTGAATTCGAATTTGTTTGTTTACATCCTGGAGTTATAAGGACTGCACTTGTTGCCCGACATGATGTTCGAAGAAATCAACTTGTCGATCCAATTCCAAACGAAACTTTTCGCCTAAAAGCCTACAGGCAATTCACGTACTGGGTGCATGATCGCCTTGGTAAAGCCATACGGAGAGTCATCCCAGCGTGTGTAGTTGGCCGAATTCGGCAGGAATATCCAAGTGATAATGGGGCCTACGTTGGATTCAAAGAAGCGGACCTACAAGCGTAATTATAAAATACGCCAAGATAAATGTAAATATCGGACATTATTTGTAAAGTTGTGTTGTGTTTTTATAGGCAACTAATTAGGGCCTAGGCCTACGCTGGTTTCCTGTGTTTCTGCCGAGACAGGCTGGCTTCTAAATAATTAATTAGAACTGTTAGTTTCATGCTAGGCCTACATAAAAACATTTCAAAGTTTAAATACCTAATTAAAATTGTCAAAAAAAATTTAAAATTTGTTGTCAACTCCTTATTTGTGTCCACATTCTTTCATAAATTTTATTTTAATTCAGAATGGCTTAGTACTACACCATTAAAAAAAAATTACTTTGTGTTGTTTGTGTTGTGTTATTAAAATACTGATTAGGGTTAGTTGAATCAATCCTACAAACCATGACCTGGCAAAAGGTAAAGCTTGCCTTACTGGTCATTTGTGTTTAAACTTAACTGAAATTTAACTAAAAATTGATCGGTTTTGGATTATTTTCTGTTGTTGGCGCCTCGAGGTTATGCCAGTGTGAGGTGCTATATAAAATCAAGAATTATTATTATTATAAGTGACGAAGACCGTGTTTGTAGTTTTTGGTTAGATGACATGGCCAGTCGGGGCATCGCGATATTCTTCTTCATGCAAAGCGATCCCTAATTAAGTTGTTCTTATTTGTATAATACAAGCCTAGAAAAATAAAAAAAATATGTTGAACAAATGCCTTCAGGAGCAAATGTTATTTTTACACTATTATAGTGTAACAACAGTTGTTGAAGGTCAATGCCTCTGACTGCCGGATCGTGCACTTTTTCCAGCCCTGACTGCATGAAGCATTCAATGATTGTTACTATTGAATCGATTCTTTGTATAGTACAATAGAGTACATTTATCATTATATATTTCTGATTCATCACGTAATAAACATACAGTACAATCACAGACAGACGCTCCATCCTGAGAATTCCATCATGAATCGTGAGTATTATACAGTAACATGAAGAAAGAAGCCAGATTCTGTAGCAGATTTTAGTTCAATAAAATTATTCCAAATGCTTTATTTATAGATTCAGTTCTCCATAAGTAATGTGAACAATTAATTCCTTGAACATTAATAAATTATACATATGATAACCAAGTACAAGTACCACTTTTATACATACTGTTGTGAATTCATGGGTACTATATGCTTTGGTTAGACAATTCAGTGCATTTAACCACAGTGTATGTACCATGCTACTTGTATCTCAATATCCATAGTACATAAAAGCAACACTGAAATGCACATTAACATTATTTCCGAGCTTTTTTTAAAAATAAACTGCCTGGTTCAAAAAAAATGTTTACGTTAGTAAATATTAAGGTTTGATATTATTTTAGCATACCACTGACAATGCATCACCACCACATGCAAGAGGAACTTTATTACGAATTATAAATAGAAGCAGGCAAGCAACTAACAATAATCAAATAAAATAATACTTTCTCTGTTATAAAGATATAAATTAGCATTTAGACAGCTTTATATTAGTATACCGTAAAACCTCGAACTGAAGCCCAGTGGGCTTAATCTCAAGATGAAGCCCATCTTGAAATTACTGCTTTGTTCGCAAAGAAAAGAAGAAGCACAGACTTCAATTCGAAGTTTTATGGTAATTCTTCACTTGATCGAACAAAGTCTACACACTATGACAGTTTAAATCTAGTCCTAAAAGCATCAATTGCATCTTGTTTAGCTGGTCTTTCAGAGGATGCAATATTTACTGGTAGATCAGGTCTGTCGACATATCTTTCACCCAGTACAACGCTTTCATCTTCACGTCGAGCACACACCATTTCCATAAGTTGTCTTCGAAAATCAAATGTTTTTTCTTTATATACCTTCTTGAGAACCCACTCCTTTTTTCGTTTGGGAAATGCCAATCCAAATCGAAGAGTTCCTGCCAAGATAAAAGGCGTGGTACACATTAAAGTGATCCTGTTATATTTAATTAAACAATTTGTTTCAATATGTGCACACTACATAAAACTTAGCACAATCATATTTGCTTTTTGCTTTTAAGAATAAGGTGTAAGAATAATTTTGTAACCAAACTTAATTTACTATCTGTTGTCCTTGCTTGCTCTCGTCCAACATTTTCGTTGTGGTCCAAAATTGCCAACTGCAGGCGAGCTCTCATCCCTTCGTAGCTGAAATGTTCTCTCTTCGGGCAATATTTCAACAACATACCATGGAAAACTTCAAGTGATCCTGAAAAATAAAATAATAGAAAATTGTTTTTTATTTCGCTTTTTTCACATATGAAAAGTGATGGTGAAAATGGCAAAAACATGTTATTTACAAAATATTCGGTGAGCTTTAATTTCATAAGTCCCACATGGTAGGTACAAAGTACTATAGGTACATCATACACAACAATATATCTAGAAATATGAATTAAAAAAAAGGCCAAATTTTCGTTTTCCATACCAGTATGTTTAAAAAGTGCCATCTTTTCCATGTCCTTTAATAGTTTCTTGTTCAATACTACACTTTGCAGTGCCTTGTGTGGTGGCGTGTCTGGTTTCAACCAGGAGACTTTACGGGCTTCACCTGATGGCAGAGGGTCGTGGCTACACTTGTGAAACTTTTTCCCAGATGACCATTCATGGATGTTGCACACATGATGTAGGATTGACATCCACTTATCCTTGAGTTCCTAATACACACACATTATTTTAATTTAATACAACATTAAAGAAATTTGAATTTGCAGCATGCAACATTACTTTAAGTTTTGATTGTTTTCAACTTACCTTGTAGTCACCATTACATGATGCACAACACCACCAGAGATGATTGTTGATAGACGGTATCCAGGATCGTAAATCCTCGCATTCTTTTTTACTTGCCAATTTTCGTATTTTTTTGTTTATGTTTTTTGCGACGTGAAACACATCAAACTCCTGCTTAATTTCTGGGAATATTTTGTTCATGTCGCATGAGATCTGAGGGTGCCTGTCGGTGGTGACTCCATCTATGAGAATATCCTCATCGAGTAAATACTCAATGGCGCGATTGAAACCGACCCGCTCCATGTTTGTGGATGCCTGCCCTGGTGCTTCAGTTACTTGCACAAGTTCAAAATGTAAAATCAGTTCACTGTATTCCTCCATAAAGGAGTAAGACAAATACTTAGCATTGTGCCCTGGGGAGTTGCTTCGTCCGTCCCCTCCAAGGAACACATGCTGGTAACGAAATGCATCAAGCCACATCTGGTGCTGCTCCTGATACAATGAATCAACGGCAGGAAAGAGATACGACCGCTGGATGTTCATGAAGTGGCGTTCTGAAAAAATACTGAGGTACATTGTTTTAGCAATATCAAAAATTTTTTGAAAAGTTCCTCCAGTAAAGAGTATTGATCCTGCTAAATCAAGGTTACCCTTGGGCATACCCCTGATTGTTGGTTGTGATTCCCATCTCCCTCTATGGTTATTGTGGCTTGTGGCATGTCCACAGGTAAACAACCATGCTTCCCCTGAAGAGCTGGCTAACTTCCAACAAACTACCACATTCATGGCATGTTTGAAAAAGCTGGTCTAACGAAGACTGATACACAAGAAAGACACTATCTTTTTTGCATTCAGCGTTTTCATCTGACGAATTGCTTCCTGAATGGCTTGGCAAATATTCGTCTTCAGACCCATCATCTGTTAATATATAAAAATGAAAAAAATTAGTTACGTGTTCTGATGATTAATGACAATACCACAAATACATTAAAGCTGGCATATTAAAAAAAAAGAAAATTGATTGTACATTCTTTCTTGTGACTGAAACACTACTAATCATTCAAATACTTTTTTGCACATGTTCAAGTACAGTGTACATTTATTTTTAAGCAACAATAAATGAGAAAGTAAGCTACAGTGGTTATATTTGTTAAATTTTTTATAATTTTATTTCATAATTTTGTATTAATTATTCTGCAGTTTTTAAATTTGTTTGTGAAATTAAGTTTACATATATATCTTGCATGTAGAGAAACTTTACAATCTTATTTTTCTGGCATTTTTTAAATAATATATTAATACATAAAAGGAAGAGGGGTAGTTACTCTACCTGTTTCTACATCAGAATCATTATAATGTTTTACATCAGAAAGTTCTATGTCTAATGCTTGTGCAATAGCACACATTTCTTTTTGGGTGCTGGAGGGTACCTTGCTTCCTGATCGAGCCTTGGAAGTTTTAGCCCTTGATGACACTTTAGAGATGTTGCTCTGGTTAATGTCTTTAACGTAGGAATGATCATGCTGAATCTTTAGGCAATCCGCAAGAGTGTGTGTCTAAAACAAAAAAGAGGGGTTTTGCTTACTTGATGAAAAAAAAAAAGTGATATTATAATATTGCTTTATAATCATTTATTACTGTACAACAAAAAAGTAATCAGAGACGGATCCAGAATTTTCCAAATAGGGGGGGACCCCCTACTAAATCCATATCTGGCAATAAAAATTATATAGATGTAGTACTGTATGTAGTAGTAGGTACTTGCCTGTGTTGACTTGCTGACTTTAACTACATGTCTACACTGGCATTCCTCTGATGGAGCTGCTACATCAATATCTAAAGGTACACCTGACATTTCACCTTCATCTTCTAAAATGATTGTCTGCAAAATTTCCATAAATAATATGGTTAAGACAGGATCATGTACTGTACGTGCATGGCATGAAACATTCAATTATTAATCTTTTACTCCCTTTAGTATAGCATCATCCCAATGGTCACTGCTTACAATTTGGAAACACACTCTGTAGTTTTCATATCTTAATTTTAATTTAATAAATATGATAATAAAATTTAGGCCGAGGTTAGGCTATGCTTACGCCGATGTATTCTAAATCTCAACGTGCTGATTGGTCGGCTTGTCTTTACTCTAACCTTAAAAATAACTCTGGCTATCATAAAGCACTGCATATCAGGGTAAACAGACACTTTCTAAAATTTAACAAGTGTTTGCCATAAATATGTGA